TCCTTTATATCTGTTGCTCGGGAGATAATCACATGATCTAGGTTTTCTTTCAAGATGCTTTATTATTTCAAGCTTCTCTGTGTTTAAAATGTTTCCATTTGAACATACACCAGGAAGTTCCCAGGTGCTAAGGGGTAGCACTCAGCCTGGGACCTTCCTGGCGTGCAAGCGCAGGCAGCCTGGTTCTGAGGCCGTGTGTGTCTCTCAAGTCCCTCCCAGGCTCTCAGCTGGGGCCCTTCCTATGCCACGGTTCACATGCGTGAAATGGAGCAGAAGCACATGCGGAATTTGCATTTTGCTCTGCCTGCTCCCCAACACATCAGTCACATTGAACAGATTTGCAGTTTAAAAGCAAGCACTGGCAGAACAGACTGTACCTGTGTGATTCCTTTACGGTTGCCGCCAGCTCTGAGCACACGCCTACGTGAGGTTTTGCTGTTCTCTTGCAAAGAATGTAAGGCTGCACCTACTAGGATCACCTGCTTAGCCTGGTCCTGAGCTATATCTGTGAAACTACACTGTCCTGTGGTGTAGTTGTTTTGTTTACTCTCCACCTGCCACCTTTTTAAAAAAAATTTTGAACCAGAGCCTCTAGCTTCCCAGGCTGGGCTTTAATTTGTGATCCTCCTGCCTCAGCCTCCCAGAATGCTATAACATTATTTCATATGTTGTTAAGAAAGGTAAAGCACTGTTGGCTGGGTGTGGTGGCCCACAGCTATAAGCCCAGCACTTGGGAGGCCAGCCTAAACTACATACCAAGACCCTGTCTCAAAACAAAAAAGCACTGCTAGTTATTGCCAAGTAATGTATAATAAAATGCGAAGATGCTATTTATCATAAAATGCATCCAAAGGATTTCCTTTCCTTTGAGACTGGGTCTTGGCCTGTGCCCAAGCTGGCCTTGAACTCCTGAGCTCAGACAATCCTGCGTCAGCCTCCCAAGTGCCCAGCTAGCCCTTTCTTACTGTATACTTTCACAGGTGGTGAGGCTGGAAGCAATTGTTGATAGACAGTTTTCCGGGATCTGTTGTCCCTTCATTCTAGGCCGGGGACTGTAGAAAGCCCACTCATTTGTTAGCATGGGTGCTGGTGTGGCCCTGCTCACTGTGTCTCTGAAGCACAGAGGAGACACAGTCCCGGGCGCTGCCCTTGCGGCGACTGCTGTCAGCTGGCTCAAGTCTGTGTGTCTCCTTCCCCTCACTGTACCGACATCCCATCCCGCAGGATGCCTGCCATTCTGGACGGTGAGGAGGCCGTGTCCAGGTGGCTGGACTTCGGGGACGTCCCCATGCAGGAGGCGCTGAAGCTGATCCGCCCCACAGAGAACATCACCTTCCACCCCGTCTCCCCTGTCGTCAACAACTCGAGGAACAACACCCCTGAGTGTCTGACTCCCCTCCACTTGGTGGTCAGAAAGGTAGGGGCCCGTCATGTCTCCCAGGCTATGGCCTTTCCTAGTCATGGCTTTAACCCCTAGAAGCTCTCACTCTCCCTGGTCATCTCCAAAAGAGCTCACTTCCCTATAACCCCAACACTCTGGAGGCTGAGGCAGGAGGATCCCTGCGAGTGCGAGGCCACCGTGGACTATGTAGCAAGGCCCTGCCTCAGAAAGTCCCCACAGTCACAAAAAGAAGTTGCTTTGGAACTGGGTACAGGGCTGCACACCTGCAATCCCAGCTACCCGAGAGGCTGAGGCAGGAGGCTCACAAGTTCAAGCCCTGCCTGGGCAATTCAGTGACGGAGAGCCCTATCTCAAAATTTTAAAAGGACAGAGTTCAGTTCCCAGTACTGCCCCCCCCAAAAAAAGAAAAAGGAAGAAGGGAAACAAAAGGAGGCATTCTTGTGAACCTGATAAATGAGGTTCTCTTGAGGGTAACTGAAGAAGAAATAAAAGCCCTCGGCCCACTGGCTTCTGCTGTCTCTTCCATACCTGCTTCTGCGGCCACAAGGTGGAAAAGCCCCTGTCCACCTCCTCAGAAGCACCTGTGCCATCTCAGACTTCATAGGACCCAGGCTGTAGGGAGGGAAGGTGGCAGGGCGGAAGGCCCGCAGTGGGGAGGGACTTCTACGCTTAACATCAGCCCCATAGAGCTGGGTGTGGTGGCACAGGCCTGTCATCCTAGCCATCAGGCTGAGGCAGGAGGATCCCCAGTTTGAGGCCAGCCTGGACTACACAGTGAGACCCTATCTCAAAAAGCAAATAAAAAAGCAGACCCCAGTGACATTAAGGGGGACGGAGCCGAGCTGTGTAGAGAGACCTGCGGAGCTCATGCTCAGAGCGGTGGTGCGACGGAGACCACAAGGGCTGCTGCCCTGTCCCGTTTCTCTTACAGTTGCTTTCCCCTTACTCATGATCACAGTCATCCTTTTTCTTTTGTCTCAGTTCTCTGCAAACTCCTGCCACCCTGACACTTTTTCCTCTAAAAATGGACCTGTGTTCATTTTGCATCAGACACTGCCCAGTTTCTGCATGGACCTTACCCTGCGAGGGCACGTTGTGCTAATTCAGAACCTTTGTGCTCAGGGCTGAATCATTTCTCCGTTCTCTGCTGTGCTTGGAGCGGCCTCCAGTGCCTTTGCCCCTTCTGGCTCCTGGCTGAGTCAGCCCCTCCCAGAAGCTGGAGCTGGGTGCTGTGAACTTTTCTCTCTTAGGAACCCAAGGTTAGCGGCAGCAGCCAGAAGATGATGCAGTGGCTGGCCACAAAGTCACCCAAAAAGGAAGACCAAGAGACACCCCTAAAGGATGAGACCAACACACCCCAGTGGTCCAGCCAGTTCCTGCAGAAGAGCCCGCTGCCCGCCAAGAGAGGTGGTGCGGGCCTACTGGTTCGATGGCTGAAGCAGGAGGAGGAGGAGGAGGTGCCCGCGGCCAAGCGGCCTCACAGTCAGTAGCCGGCCCCGGCCCTGGACACTTCAGGGGTGTGTTCGCGTGGGAGGTGGTAGCACTGGCTAGATGACAGTTGCAGCTCACCAGGAAAGCAGCCACTTTGGCCTTGAGCAGCAGCTGTGGGCATCGGGAAGAGGGGCTGCCTGCTGCCCGTGTCTGAGGGGCCGGAGCCCTCAGCCTACCCTGCTGCTCCCACAGGGCTGTTGCCTGCACAGCCGAGGGAGCAAGCCCAGCATGTGGGCTTGGCTTGACTTTGGTTTCCCTTGAAGTGTAAAAATTATTTTTCAGAAATGTCAAGACAATCACGTAAAAAAGGGAAAATGTTATCCTCCACTTGTCCTAGAAATAAGGAAGGCATAAAATTGCTTTTTTAATTATGGAAGTTGGAAGTTTAGCATCAGCATCCAAAGTAAACAACAACAGACATTTACCGTGCAGTTTGGATTAGTTTGATTGGGGTTTCCCAGAGGGGTTAAGACTATTTCTTCTGTCAGTTCCCATCACCAAAACAATAAAAAGCAGCAAAAAGTAAACCAAGCGGTGGCTGAGACATGGGAGGATGCCACCTGTAGTGTGTCTAGGCCACGTGGGGCGGCCCTTGCTGGGGACATGCACTGCCCTTCCCTGCAGCAGAAGTCAGGCTTCTCTGTTCCGCTCAGGAATTGCTTTCCTTATTTATCTTCTTTTTACTTCTTGGGGCTTGCAGAAGAGCACCCCTTATTATGTAGCACAAAGTATATACTGTCACAATCTTATTTGTTACTCCTTTTACTAAAATAGTTCAAATCAGTGTTTTTAACCACACTATCAGAAAGCTCTGTTTCTCTGCACAAATTGAAGCGGTGTGCCAAAAGGCCAGAGCGGGCAGGAGGGGTGGCTGCACCACTGTCATCTGCAGACGAGTGTCACTGCCCGTCCAGGACCCAGACCAGATGTTCCAGTCTGTTCCTAGAAAGCAGCACAGATACTGTGCACCCCCCCCCACTATGAGAAATAGGCACCTCTGCCGTTCTGCAGCCATACATTTATAGGAATTTGTTTCTTTAAACAAAAATCAGTAGTAATGTATTTTCTTCCTCAACAAGTTTCAAGGGGGAAAAAAAGGTCACTTTTTTCTTTCTCTGGTGTGTACCTAATAATTTTTGGGTAAAAATGTCCCACTCTGGGCCAGGGATTTAGCTCAGTGGTTTCGCCGCCTGCTGCACAAGCAAAAGGACCTGAGTTCGATCCCTCATACCAAAAAAAAAAAAATGTCCCACTCTAAAAAAATGTGCTGTACAGATTCTGACTCCAGGATAGACCAAGCCACCGGCCTTGCCTGGGCTGGAAGGAGAACTCTGTCACAATGGGAACAATAGAAACTGAAGCCCTGCGAGTGAACTGCCCTTTGGGTTCCAAGGCCAGGAGTCAGCAGCAAGTCAGCACTGGGAATGAAGGGGCCTCTGAAAAGCCACCCCCACCCCAGCCGTTGGGAAGACTTTCCTAGAAAGGAGGGCATCACCCTGAGTTGCAGACCCCTAGGATCCCTACAGTGGACAACCCTATTGGGCCTTGGCTTTGTAACTGCCACCTACACCCAGGCTTACAGAGTGGCTGCTGGCTTGTACCAGCGAGTATGTTCGAGGTGTAACTATCACAGACATGCTGTCCTTGAATGTCATCCCAAGGTGGTGTTGGCTCTGTGGCAAGCAGGAGGGGTCTCAAGGGAAAGCTCCCTGGCCCCTCAGGGATGGCTATGCCCCTCTGGGCTATTTTCCAGGCCCATTTGCAGGTCTTGGGAACCTTACTGCTGTGGCCAAGCCATCCTGATCCAAACGACTCCCATGGGCTCCCAGGGCTGGATTCCCACCCAGTGTGGACCCACAGCCCTGTAGGGGCTACTAAGCATGGCCAGCCTGGCTGCCCACTTGGGCAGGCAACACCCAGTACCATGGCCAGCAGACGGGGATCTCACACCTAACAGCAGCTCCCTGACAGTCCCTGAGGTACACCTGGGCACACAGCCCAAGGCTTTCCCAAGAGTGTACAACCCAAGGCGTGACGGCAAACACAACACAACCACTCAGGAGAGGCAGGGAAGCTTCCCATCCACCCTCACATGGTCCTGTCCTTCACCTGGGCTGACACGAAGACCATGTTTTTGGGCTCTTCAGCTCTTGCTACACGAAGCTAAGTACCTTTGGGAGAGGGCAGCCAGTGGTGTGGGGACTGAACAGAAGTGAGTGGGTACCAGGGCTGCTACAATGGTGTGAACGGTGTCACCAAGGTGGCGTGTCCCTCTCCCAGGTCCGGGGGTCTCACCTGGAAGGTGCCACAGCATCACCTACCCCTCTGGGCCTGTCTTCCTGTCTCCTCCCTCTGGTTTACAGCTCCCAAGCTGGGAAAGAGGCCAGAGGCCAGGAGCAGGGCCAAAAGGAACCTCGGGGACCTCACTTAGCCACCAGAGGCTGAGTAGCATGCTGAAGGTCACACAGCAAACTAAAGCCGGAGCCAGCTCAGGCTTCTCCCTTCCGCGGAGAACAGAACTCAGTGTGGGTGGCCTTGCAGCTGTCCTTTGGTTTGGGGTGCAGTCAGCCCTGGGGAGGCCACTTGACCCCAGACCCAGCCATGGCCCAGCTCTGCCTGACCAGAGACAGAGATGGTACAGAGTGTTGGAAATGTCGAGGTGAATACTACACACAAGCAGCAGCTGCTATTGACCTCCAGGTATAGGGGCACCCTGAAGTCCCAGGACTGAAGGTCAGAAGAAGAGCAGCTTCCAGTCAGCCTGGACACAGTGACTCCTCCAGGATACAAGGCCCTGGCCATAGCAGGGGGCAGAAGCCAAGTGGGGCCATCTAGGGGCAGAGGGCGTGGTGAGATGGCCTTACTGCGGATGGACCCCCGGGCAGATCTGGCCTGGCATCCCCTTGCTCACTGCCAGGGAACAGAGGGACTGAGGCTGTCCAGGACGCCGGGCTGTAGGAAGTGGGCGGGTGCTTCTGTTCCCAAGTTGGCTGGTGCAGAGGTGGGAGATGGAGGGCTGGTCGTTGGTGTCACTGTGGAGCCAGAGCGGCCAAGTCCTATGTACAACTCACCATGGAGAGAGATGGCAGGGCCGAGGTCCAGGCAAGGCCAGGCCCCGAAGGTGCTGGAGCTGGTTCCAAGGCAGGTGCTGCTGGATGCAGGGTTTGGAGCACGCTGCACATCTCCTGACGATGGCCTCCTCACTCAGGTCCTCGCAGGGTCCTGGAGCAGCCGATGCAGGTTCTCATGCATCTCCAGGACCTTCTGGCGCACACCACCAGAGCTGGAGCCCGGCTTCTACCCTGCTGAGCTGGAGCTGGGGGACAGGTGGGCGGCCAGGGCAGCTCAGGGCACGGCAGGTGGGGTGTGCTGCAGGGAGGCGGACGAGAACCCTTTTCGGAGGCTGCCTGCGTGGGAGGAGCCTGTCACCTGCCAGCGGCTTCACCTGGAGCTCCAGCTGCCTGGCATCGGGGCACGAGGGGAGGGGTGGTGCAGGCCGGGGAGGCCTCTGCGGGGCTGGGAGGTTGTCCTGAAGCCAGAGGGTTCTCCCGCCCTGCCGGCGAGGGCCTTTGCTGCCCAGAGCAGCGGCACCAGCTCCTTCCGCTCCTCGAGCTTCCGGGAGCAACTACTTGTGCCTCTCGTGCCCCTTCCGCCGGTCATCGTCGAGGAAACCACGGAGCTAGCTGGCGCAGTTCCTTAGTCCTGCAGCCGCTGAGCTCCAGCATGGGGCCCACCTCACCTGCCGCACCAGCTCTTCCTCTGAGTGGCTGTCACCGGCAATCCCCCCGCTCCAGCCCCGGGCAGAGAGGGGCGGGACTTGCTTTCTTCCTGAAGGGTCTCCAGGTCACCCTGCTGGTGCTCGAGGAGCCAGGGCACCAGGTATCACTCAACACTGCTGCACTCTGCGCCTGGTCTCTGCTGTCCTGGGAGGGAGCGATAAGAGGACGCGGCGCCGCTGGTGTCCACAGCAGGCGGGGGGGCTGGTGCGGGCCAGGCCGCTGGCTGATTTCCACCTCTCATGGGTGAGGAGCTCCCTGCGGTTCTTTGGGCGAAAGTTTATATTGTGCCGGGGTCCCTGAGCTGTCCCCCCTGGAGGATCCATCCTTCACCTCTCCCACGGGAGGTGCCACCGGGGACTGGTGCCTCCCTCCTCCAGGAGTCCATCCTGCCTGACTGTCGCGCTGCCTGCTGTGACACCCTTTTTGTGTCACTACCTCCCTCTAGCCCCTCCGTGTCCACCGTGTACTGTGCGGACATTGCTGTGGGTGGTGGTTCATTTTCCTTTCGTACAGGAGATTGAATTCAGGGACTTCACACTGAGCTACATCCCTGGTTCCTTTTTTATTTTTTATTTGGTCACTAAATTCCCCAGGCTGGGCTTGAATTTGCATTCTTCCTGCCTCAGCCTCCCAGAGTGCTGGGGTTACAGGCATGTGTGGGAATCCACTTAGAAGGCTGAGGTGGAAAGATCTCGGCCTGGGGCCACAGAGGAGGGTCGGCAAGTTAGGCCTCCTTTGGCAGCATTCCCGAAAGCTGGCAGCTGGAAGTCTCAGCGAAAGAATCGACAGACAGCTGAGATCTAAGTGAGACAAAATGTATGCCTGGGCACACTCTGCCAATTAGAAACAGATGAACCTTCCTTGAACCTGACTTCACAGGATTGCTTGCTCCCTTTTCTAAGTGAGGAGCACCAGCACTGCCAGTCCCAGCCTCTTTGTCCACTAGAGGCAGGAGTCCCCTGGGACCCTCTTCTGGAATTATCTATGTGTCTTTTGTCTTTCAGCCTCTTCACCCCCTCCAGCTGGCTGCTCCTAGCAGGCTGCTTTCCTGCAGGCATGCACCACCAAACCTGGCAGGTGATTCTTCTTGGTATTGATCTGATGTACAAACACATCTGCTTTAGTATCATTTCAACTTATAAATCCATATCCATTTCTGACCTGAACCGTTTGACCGTGCCAAAGACTTTGGTGGCAAGAATTTTTTGCTCCGTCTTCATTCCCGGTGGTGGCTGCAGAGTCAGGGTCTACCCTCACACTACCACCTACCCTGTCGTGAGGGGGCCTGGGCTCTTGGGCAGGGTCCTGCAGGAGGGTGGTGGCGGTAGCCTGGCCCGCCTGCTCGTGCCACCCCGTCTGCTCTTGCTTGGGCACCTTGGTGACACTACATGGTTTGGCTGGTGGGCCTGGCTGGTGATCAGACCTTTTTTTTTTTTAATTCTTTTTTTTCTAGTACTGGGAATTGAACTCAGGACCCTGCATTTGCCAGGCAGGCAAAGCGCCACTGAGCTACATCCCCAGCCCCAGATCTTGAGTTTCTGGCTATGCTCTTGCTCTTGAGCTCCCATTTCATCTTAGCATCCCTGGTTGGCTTTTCAGTATGTTTTATTTAATAAACTTAAGGCTACATTTTTTTTTTTGGTACCGAGGATTGAACTCGGGTCCGTGCGCTTGCGCAGCAGGTGGCAAAACCACTGAGCTAAATCCCTGGCCCTAGTCTACACTTTTTCAGGGATTTTTTCAATTTTTTAAAATTACTACTGTCCATGTTTGCAGTACATAAGGATCTCATCCTTGTGTGGAGTTGGCACATGTACCTCACATCTCAATTCTTTGTATCCCCTTCCCCTCACCTGCTGTCCTCCTCCATCTCTTGGTTCCTTTCCCTTTTACAAAAGATCTCTCTGTTTCCTATTATCCTTCTTTTATTTTGCTAATTTCTTTTTTTTTTTTGTACTGGGGATCGAACTTGGGTCCTTGCACTTGTGCAGCAGGCGGCAAAACCACTGAGCTAAATCCCCGGCCCTTGCTCTCTAATTTATTTATACTTTGGTTTCTCATATAAGAGAAACCATGCAATAGTTAAGTTTGTGTTGATTTATTTCACTTCACATTATGGTCGCAAGGTGCATCCATTTTCCTACAAATGACTGGTTTCTCCTTTATGACAGAATAGTACTCCATTGTGTATAAATACCACACTTTTTAAATTCATTCATCTGTTGATGGACATATAAGCTGCTTCCAAGGTTTAAATATTATAAGTTGGGCTGTGATGCCAGACATAGTAGTGCATAGTAGTGTTGTAATCCCAGCACTTGGGAAGCTGAGGCAGGAGGATTGCTGCAAACTTGCACCCAGTCTGTGCTACAGAGTGAGCTCAAAACCA